CTCTCTCTTTAAAAAAAAAAAAAAAAAAAAGAATTCTGAACTAGCCTCAGCAATTTAGTGAGGCCTTAAGCAACTCAGTGAGACCCTGTCTCTAAAATATAAAAAACCCTGGCTCAGTAGTTAAGTGCTCCTGTGTTCAATCCTCCTACAAAAAAAAAAAAAAAAAAAAATCTTCCACTTGTTAGGCAGACCCAGCATTGAAACTTAATTGCCCCCAGTGACTCCTCAAGGAATTTGAGTGATGTCTCTGGCTTGCTTAACTGAGATTTATCTATTCCATGAGTCTGCTAATGAACATGTACATTTATCCTAGTCCACCCTGGGCTGTCTGAGTCAATGCTCAAGGTGGCAGCAGCCTCAGGATTATTTTGTGACTGTAGCAAGGGTTAGCGTTGGTGGAGAGGCCAACATGCTCTTATTCCTAGAGATAGAAGTTTGGGGTCAGACACAGTGGGCAATTTGTACCCATACCATATTCTGTCTCAAGAATTCCTTTCATGGTCCTAAAACCCCTGCCTGACTTGTTAGGTTCTAGTTTCATCTGATCTGACCTTCAGTAGAAACTGCATTTTTAACATGGTAACCAGCAGGGATTACCTGTCCCAGGATGCCCTCATTCACCAAAAATAATGGCAGAATAGGATAAAAGTGCAGAAGTGAGCTGGGAAGATCCAGGGATTTTGTTTGGAGGCTATCAACAGTCTGGCAGTCTGGGAAGCTCACTTTAATTTCCCTGTGCGGAACAACTTTGTCTCATTCCTTAGCTGAATTAGAACCTAACCTAGGTCTGATGCATGCATGAAATGAGACAATGAATGTAAAGAAGATATCTGGATTGGGAAGATATCTTTCCTAAGGAGGAGGAGATACTAGGGTGGGGTGCCTAAAGTGCTGCTGAAGATGTTGCATGCAGAACAGCATACAAAATAGCTGCTGACACATACTTAACCAGAGTCCTCAAGGGCCTGTTTTTTTTTTTTGTTGTTGTTGTTGTTTTGTTTTTAAATCCTTTAAATATTAGTCTAAGTTCTGACTTAAAATGAAGACTTTCAAAGGGCTTCACTCTCTCTGCCACCCCTCCTCCACCATTGGAATCAGGGATTGAACACAGGGGTGTTTAAACCATTGAGCCACATCATTTTTTTTTTTTTAACTTAGAGACGGGGACAGGGGTCTGAGTTGCTTAGGGTCTCTCAAAGATGCTGAGGCTGGCTTTGAATTCACAGGGGTGCACCACCACGCCTGGATTCACTGTTTACTAATAATACTGGCTATAACTTTTGGAGTTCATTAATGTGTTAGGCACTTTTCTTGTTTTTATCTCTAGCTTTTACAATTTCACTTGACATTTGACCTCTTACCTAATGTGCCAAAGAGCAAGGATTATGAGCTGTGCTCTGAACCCTTATTCAATGCTGCCTTTCCTTCTGGGTAAGAAAGAATTTTGAGACAGGTGGAAGGAAGGAGGCACAGTTCTAAGAAGTTCTTAGATTCTGGAATACACCTGGTCGTGTAAAGTTCACCTGTTCACACATAAAGTTTTTCTTTTACCCAAGTCATTGAAGCAGCGACGTATTACATCGGCCATCTTGGTTGTGGCAACTCTAACTCCTTTGGTATTTTTCTGTGACAATAACCAAGGAAAGCAGACCGTGTCGCCCATAGCCAGGCTTCCCCAAAAACCCCAGCTCCTCTCTAGGTAAGGAGCGCCGCTTTCCGACCCACTAGGTGGGCCATGTGAAGCACGGCCTACTCAATCGCCCCGCTCCCGGGTCGCGGCTCGGAGCCGGCAGGGGAGGGGCTCGTCCGGACCACGCCGGCCCACGCCCGAAGCTCCGCCCCTCATTTAAATACGCGGCGCCGGCGAGTGCGTCGAGCTCGCCGCGGACCCAAGATGGCGGCGTGTGGACGTGTACGGAGGATGTTCCGCTTGTCGGCGGCGCTGCAGCTGCTGCTGCTAGCGGCGGCCGGGGCCGAGAAACTCGCTGGCCAGGGCGGCCACAACCAAGGCCAAGGCCTGGCCGCCAACTTTGTGCCTTTCCTAGGGCAGGCTGCAGGCGGCGGCCCGGTAGGTCAGCAGCCGCCCCAGTTGCCTCAGTCATCGCAGCTCCAGCAGCAGCAGCAGCAGCAACAACAGCAGCAGCAGCAGCAGCAGCAGCAGCAGCAGCAGCCTCAGCAGCCTTTCCTCGCGGGTGGGCCTCCAGCCCGTCGGGGCGGAGCGGGGCCCGGCGGGGCTGGCGGGGGCTGGAAACTGGCGGAGGAAGAGTCCTGTAGGGAGGACGTGACCCGTGTGTGCCCCAAGCACACCTGGAGCAACAACCTGGCGGTGCTCGAATGTCTGCAGGACGTGAGGGAGGTGAGGAAGCGGACCGGGCTGAGAGGGATAGGCCTGGTGTGGGCCCAAGGGTGTAGCTGGCCTGGAAGCCGCCGATGCCGGTCTGCTGCTTCCTTAGTGCTGCTGCACTCGCTCCGCGGCGCTTTCAGGGAAGTGGACCCCACCCCCACACCTACCCCTTCCTTCCTTCCTTCCCCGGCCTTCGTTCCTTCTCTCCTTCTCTCCTTGTTGTGAGGTCTCGGCCGAAGACCTCGGCTCCTGGCCGCAATTCACGAAGGCCCAGAACGTGTTCCTGTTTGCTCCTGTCTTTTGTGTGATGCTCTATGTAGAGTGGTTCTTCGCCGAAAACCAATTTGGGATTTTGCCATCAGTCTTGACCTGGACAATTTGTAACAATCCATTTAAACATGAAAAATGGTTGGCGTACTTAAGTTGTTAAAGACCGACCTGCTTTATGAGCAGTAGGTAATGTTTCGTTAGGTAACACAGGTTCTGTTCTGGTGTGTGTTGCAGTCAGCAGCAGAATTTACTGTCTTTACCCTATTATTTTGTAATTCGCAAATTTGTATTACTTATTTGGTGTTGAAACTAATGTATTCTTTTTTTTTTCTTCCAATTCTTTGGTAAATTTGTAGAGCTATTTTGCCAGGTGACTAGGAGACCTAAAGCTTAAAAAGTTGAGGCAGCATTTGAAGCTGTAATAAATGTTTGTGATTGGGCCTTTAGAGGTCTGAATATAATTTCTCTCTTCCTCTCCCCCTCTCCTCTCCCCCCCTTTCCCTCTAGCCCCCTCTCTCTCACTCTGTATCTAGGGGTCACTCTCATTACCTAGGGGCGCTTTATCACTGAGCTACATCCCCAGCCTTTTTTATTTTTTGAGACAGGCTCTGCCTAAGTTGCTTAAGACCTCTCTAGGTTGCTGAGGCTGGCCTGGAACTTTTGATCCTCCTGCCTCAGCCTTCCCATTCTCTGGGATTATAGGCATGCACCATCGTGCCCGGCTTGAATACCTCTTAATTAGATTTGGCTTTGATATTGCTTGCTGTGTGATTCAGTTAAGAGACATTGATAATTTTTCTCTAGATTTAATAGTGCTTCTAAGTGCACAGTTTGACAATTCTTAAAGTTTGGAAGGCAATCTGGTAGAAAACAATTTTTAAAAAAAAATTTTATTATTGGTTGTTCAAAACATTACATAGTTCTTGAGATATCATATTTCATACATTTGATTCAAGTGGGTTATGAACTCCCATTTTTACCCCGTATACAGATTGCAGAATCACAACGGTTACACATCCACTGTTTTACATATTGCCATACTAGTGTCTGTTGTATTCTGTTGCCTTTCCTATCCTCTACTATTCCCCCTCCCCTTCCCTCAATTTTTTTTTTTTTATACTAGGAATTGACTCCAGAGTTTTGCCTTGCACATGCTAGGCAAGAGTTTTTCCACTGTGAAATACTTTTTCCAAAGGTGTAGGTACACAGAATTACTTTCAGAATTTTGGCAAGTAGAATGAAGCTGTTGATTGATACTTTTTTAAAAAAATTTTTTCTTGGGCTGGAGACGTGGCTCAGCGGTAGCGCACTCGCCTGGCATGCATGCGGCCCGGGTTCGATCCTCAGCACCACATACCAACAATGATGTTGTGTCCGCCGAGAACTAAAAAATAAATATTAAAAATTCTCTCTCTCTCTCTCTCTCTCTCTCTCTCTCTCTCTCTCCCCTCTCTCACTCTCTCTTAATAAAAAAAAAATTTTTTTTCTTAGTTGTAGTTGGAAACAATACCTTTATTCTATTTATTTCCTTTTATATGGTGCTGAGGATTGAACCCAGTGCCTTGCACATTCGAGGCAAGCGCTTTACTGCTGAACCTCAACCCCAGCCCCTTGTTATTGTTTTTTTTTTTTTTTTTTAAGACATTGATGGACCTTTATTTTATTCATTCATTTATATTCAGTGCTGAGGATTGAACCCAGTGCCTCACACATGCTAGGCAAGTGTAAACCCCCCTTGATATTGTTTTATTTGGCATATTGTATCATCACAATTATTTAAGGGAATAGTCTTGGGGAAAATGACTGGTTTGTAGAAATTTGCTACCGTTGGCAATTTTCTCCTTCTTACCACTGTGATATTTGCTCTAGTGTTATATATAAAAGTAATTCAGAAGATGCAAATACATACATAACTGGGTGCAGTGGCACAGCTGTAACAACTTGGAAGGTAAAGCAGAAGGATATCAAGTTGGAGGCCAGCTTCAGCAATTTAGTGAGATCTTGAGCAACTTAGTGAGACACTGTCTCAAAAATAAAAAGGGATGTGAATATAGTTCAGTGGTAGAGCACCTCTGGATTTAATTCCCAGTACCAAAAAAAGAAAAGGCATATACATAATCAGGAAACAGTTTCCAGAGTTACCAGAAATGTGGACTCTTACATGACTTCTTATCTATAGCTTGAAGATTAGAGGAACAGTTATTCTTTAATTTTATTCTTTAATTGTTCCTCTAGTAGTTACAGCTAAGATTCTTGGTCTTTTTTATTGTTGTTTTGTGGTACTGGGTATTGAACCCAGAGGCCCTCTACCTCTGAGCCATATTCCCAGTCCTTTATTATTATTATTATTATTATTTTTTTTTTTTTTTAAGTTTCTGACTAAATTTCCCAGGCTGATTCAGGAGATTCTCCTGCCTCAAATTCCTGAGTTGGAGTGCTTGGCTTTTATTTGGAGTGCTTGGCTTTTATTTGGACTTTGAAGGTAGATAATAGGTATAGGCTCCTCAGACAGGATCCTTATGTTGGGGACCAAACACATTGCTAGTGGATTGTGGCAGAAACAGGATGTTTTTAGGGACAGTGGCAAAAAGTAGCCCATTTAAGGAGTGCATGTCTCTTTGTATGCGTTAAGGACATGTGGAAACCACCACTTATAGGAGCAATGGTCCTTTGTCGTGTGTAGAAGGGTGTAGAGGCATGCATCATCCACAAATTACTTAGATTTGTCTAATTTTGATGTCTGCTTAATTTAGTAGGTACTATTTTTCTTTCACTTGTTCATATATAAAGACACCTAGACTGGCCTGAAAATTTAGTCCCTGCTCTTCCATTGACTAAGATTCCCAGCAAGGATATAATTTTAATAACTATATTTTTCTTACTTTGTGGGTATAATGTATATAAATGAGATCCTGTATCATCTTTGTAACTTTCCAAGCTACCTAATTCAGTGCTGGGATCAGGAAACATTGTGGACTGATTGAGGATGAGTAAACTAATGGATGTGGTTTTATGCTTCAGAGGAAGAAAGATGTCATGCAAATTGGAGATAGGCTATTTTTGTTGGAGTGAGGGAGCTAAATTTCCAATTTAATTAATTTTCCTCTAATTTTATATATAGAAATATTAAAAGAAGAGTACTATGAATCCTGTGTATATTCTTTAGGAAGTGGAGTTACTAAAGAAAGCAAAAGGAAATTTCTTTCCACTTAGTTTAAGAATTGATTGAGTCCAGGGCTGGGGATATAGCTCAGTTGGTAGAGTGCTTGCCTAGCTCGAATACACAAGGCTCTGGGTTCAATCCCCAGCACCACAAAACAAAACAAAAAAAGAAAAACAAAAAAACAATAACAACTGGGCACATTTGAAGAGAAATGAATGGAATATGTTTTCTGGGATTTTCTTTTTTGGGGGGAGGGTACTGGGTATTGAACCCAGGGCCACTTAACCACTGAGCTACATCCCCAGCCCTTTTTATTTTTTATTTTGAGACAGGGTCTCACTAAGTTGCTTAGGGCCTTGCTAGCTAAGTTGCTGAGGCTAGCTTTGAATTTGGTATCCTCCTGCCTCAGCCTCCCAAGTCAAAAACGGCTTGCTGAATACTAGTTCCACCACTTACAATGTAATGTAAAAAAGTTACTTTATCTTTCTGAGCCTATTTTTAATCTAAATTAGTAATACTGTCCAGCCTGGGATGGTGGTACACACCTGTAATCCCAGCCACTTGGGAGGCTGAGGCAGAAGAATCACAAGTTCAAGGCCATCTTAGGCAAATAGGTGAGACTCTATCTCAAAATAAAAAAGGGCTGGGGATGTAGCAGAGTAGTAGAGCACCTGGGGTTCAATCTTAAGGAAGGAAGGGAGACAGACTACTACCAACCTCAAAGTACTAAGAGTATTAAATGGGATAATAGAGATCATGTAGTGCACTATCTCATGTATATATACATAGTGTAGTGAAAGGTTAAAAACATCTGAGTAGTAGTAGGGATTGAACTCAAGGATTCCCTCATGCTAAGCAACACTCTACCACTGAAGTACATACCCAGCTCTTTTTTAGATTTTTTTTTTTTTTTTTTGACAGAGTCTTTCTAAGTTGCCTAGGCTATCTGTGAATTTGTGATTGTCCTGCCTTAGCTTCCAGAGTGACTGGAATTATACAGGTATCATCATCATCATCATCATCATCATCATCATCATTATTTTTAGCAATAGTAGGAATCCAACCAGGGCCTGGCACACTTGGCAAGCTCTCTACTGCTGAACTACATCCCTTTATTACTTTTTTAAGAAAAAATAAATTTATATATTCTAATTTGTTATACATGACAGCAGAATACATTTCAATTCGTAGTACACATTTTCCCTTCTTACCCCTCCCTCACTTTTGCCCTATCCAAAGTTCCTCCATTCCTCCCATGCTTCCCTTCTCACCTCCATTATTGATCAGCATCCACAAATGAGTAATATTCCATTGTGCATATATGCTACAGTTTCTTTATCCATTCATCTACTGAAGTGTATCTAGGTTGGTTCCACAGTTTAGCTATTGTGAATTGTGCTGCTATAAACATTGATGTGGCTGTGTCACTTATATGCTGTTTTTAAGTTCTTTGGGTACAAACTGAGGAGTAGGATAGCTGGGTCAAATGGTAGTTCCATCCCAGGTTTCCCAAGGAATCTCCATACTGCTTTCCACATTGGCTGCACCAATTTGCAGTCCCACCAGCAATGTAGGAGTG